TTTCAAGGAACAACTCAGGTTTTCCTAGTATCTAAACCGATCCTAAAGCATCATTAGAATTCAAAAGGTCAAAATAGAAGATAAATGCTAGAATACAAAGACTCATGCTTAAAAAAAGTGCCAACCAGTTGTTTTCCAACACAAAAGTCATTTCTATATAAGTAAACTTTGGTTCATTTTATTGAGGTTAATATGTGAATAATATTTTGATTAGTAATAAAACTGTAAAAATTAATATCAAAAGGAAGATTTAGATCTGCTATTCTGAGTGTCCAACTCCTGGCAGCTAACTTGCTAAAAAGAAAAAAGAAAAAGCAAGGGGTAGTTGGCAAGACTACAGGCTATTGAAATATTTATAGCTAGTAGAGTCTAAAGAAATCCTAAAGCTTTATTCAATATTTGCATTAAATATACAAATTAGGTCTTCTAAGTATTTAATATTAAATGCATGCTCTATTACTGAACTCCTCAAGGGAAAAGATGCTATTTAAATACAAAAGAGAAGCATAATTATTGATTTCAAGTTAACAATAATTAAATGAAAAGCAAGCATAGGTATTGCCAAGAATTTCATTTAATACATGGACATAAGACTATTGGTGATTCCTAATCTCATTAAAACTAAGTGATTTATTTAGGCTTAGGTTTGCCATATTCATAGTTAAAAGTATATGGCTTACTGTGCTCTATACATAAGCAATTTCCTGGTAATATTTATATCTGGTCATAACATTTTGTGACACTGTTAAATGTATTTATTTCAAGATTTCATATACTAAATTAAAACACTATGTACATTCACCTGATTACAGAGAATAAAATTCAAACATAAAACCACAGCTTGGGGAATTTATTCTCCACAAATTATTTAGACTTTCTATTTTTCTGTGCTAGATTATTAGAACAGATTAACAAAGGAATGCTTTTGTGTTTGTGAAAAAAGAGAATGTAGGGTTCCAAAATGGACTACTGAATTTCATGTGGATCCAACTCTTCCACAAATAACAACTATAAATTCTGGACATAACACACACATACACAAGAATACTAAAAGCATCCCAGGTGACCATGAGTAGGAAAATGCAAACTGTGGTACCTTCAAACAACATAATTTTCCTGAGCAATTTATAAAAGAACCACTGATACATGTAATATCATGGCTGAATCTCAGAACCATTATGCTGTGCAAAATAAGTCTCACAGGAAAGAGTACATACGGCATGATTCCTATTAAGGGGAATTCTAAAAGAGACAAAATTAATCTATGAACAAAAACAAAACAATGATTTCTTCTGGTAAGTGCTTTGGGCGACTGATGCTGAGGAGGCATGTGGAACTTTCTGGGCTGGTAGTAATTTTCAGTATCTTGATAGGAGTTTTGAGTTACAGAGGTATTTGCAATTGTCAAAACTCAGTGAAAGTACAGTTAAGATTTGTGCATTTTTACTGCACGTAAATTTTACCTCAAAAGAAAAAAATGTAAGCTATTGAACTCTAGTTAATGATATGCATGCTAAAGTATTTAGGGGGGGAAGTTACCAATGGCTGCAATGTACCTTGAAATGTATCAAAAATAGATGTAATAATAAATAGAGAGGCATAGACAGAAGAATAAATAAGTGATATAGCAAACATACTTAAATATCAATCGCAAAATCTAGGTGTAGGTATATGAGAAGTCACTGTAAATTTCTTTCAGCTTTGAAAATTTTCATAAAAATATTAGATACAAAAAGGGAAGGAAAATGACACTAGATTAATTCACAAGTCCAATCAGACTTTTATTTTAACAGGGTTATCACCAGACTAGTACATCAAAGAAAGACAATTGACTCAACACATTTGGACCCCAATAAATTTGGATCTCTCTTCATATTCTGAACAAAGCAAGAAAACAAAAAACAGATTGCGCAAATAATAATGCTAATAGCTATCGTATACAATACTCTTTACTAGATACTCTCCTAGTATTTTATATGTATTAATGAGTTTGATCTCTAAGACAGAGCTATCAGATAAATGTTATTATCCACATTTTATCAATGAAGAAACTAAAATATAGATATGTTAGGTAATTTCTCAAGGTCCCAGAAGTAGTCAGTGGCAGAGACAGGGATTAGAATCCAAAGAGTCGGGGTTAGAACCCCCACTCCTAACCACTTCCCTGTGACTACTCGCTTAGGTGACTTTGTAACAGGCACAATGTGACCTCAGGTACTCTCCTCAAGTTTGTGGATGACATGAAACTAAGAGGAAAAAAAAATGCATTACTTTACAAATTATCTAAAAAACCTTACAGGGCACATAAAGAAGAGACTGTAACAAGGTAAAATTTTATGGGGATAAAATATAAGATCCTGCATTTGAGGGCAGAGAACCCACTTGGCCTGCAGTGACAGCTCTGGTTCATGGCAGGTGTTTGGTAAGGACCTGTCCAGTGAATGGATGGCTGAATGACAGGATAGGGAGAAGGTGTGGAAAACAACAAAAGGCTTTACTAAACCAAAAGCAAAATATGAATTTAGTAAATTGTACCACAAAATGCTAATATAAAATTGTGTCATCTAGAAGTAGGTTAAATGAAAGCCCTAGAAGACTCTTCTGGTCAGACCAATGCCAGATATACTGTGTTAACTTCTGGGAACTACAGAGAAACTGCAACAAGTGTAGAGCAAAAGTGCAAGCAAGACTTAAAGCCATAGTATCTAGTACACAAGTGAAGAAGCTGCGAACATTTAAAGTGAAAGGAAAGCTCAAAGGAACATTTTAGCAAACTTAAAATGGGGACTGATGAAAAAGAAGAGTCACACATATTCTGTAATCACCTTTAAGAATAAAAATAAAGCTAACTGAGAGATGCCACAGGAGCCACAAAAAAAAAAAAAATCAGTGTCAATATAAGGAAGACTTTTTTAACAGAAATAACCAAAAAGAAAAAGGTAGGAAGAGAAAAGACTACCTCAGAAGGAGATAAGTAACCTAAATATGATAAGAATAACCCAGTGAAAGATTAGAACAAATTAACATAAACATCTCTTTCAAATCTAAGAACTTAGTATATAATAAAAGGTCATATTTATAAGGTTCTATTATAAAAAGTTTCAGACGGTTAAAACAGTTATACAATTGAAATGAAATAGACTTGAGATGATAAAATTAAGATATAAAGGAAAAATAAGAAAATAGAAGTTGTCAAGTCTATAAGTGGGAAGAGCTTCAAAATTGTCTATATAATCATTTAAAACTTTTATATATGAAAAGCATTAAGAGGAAAATAAGCTTTCCTCTTCAGGAAAAAGGGATTTTCTCTTTAATAGAGACCGAGGTTGTCCAGTACAGTAGCCACAAGCTGCATGCAGCTACTTAAATTAATTAAAATAAGTTGATCTTAAACATTAAAAATTTAGTTTCTCAATTGCACTACCCACATTGCAAGTGCTCACCAGCCACTTTTGCTAGAGGCTACTGTATTAGACAATGCGGATACAGAACATTGTCATCATTGCAGAAAGGTCTCTTGGAACGTCAATATTTAAAATAGAATGATTTAGTGCAGAGAATTCATTGCACAACTGATAGAAGGGCTGGGCGCCGACGATGGGAGGCTGTGTGGCAGCACAAAGACTGGCAGCAGCAGGAAGCCATCACTCCCTAAAACAGAGGACAAAGTGTAGTCTACAAACCCACAACACCTGGCAAAGCTGGGAGCACAGGTGTCTTGGGTGGAAGCTAGAGACAAGGATGAGAAGCAGTCCCTGCTGGATAAACACCCTGATGTAAATAAAAGAGGGGAGGAAATACCACAACCTCTCCCTTCCTTCTGCCCTCCAGCCTTCTGGCAGCACCTCCTGGGGTGGAACCCAGACGAAACTCAGGGAACGGAGGAGCCTGAAAAATGCAGCCTATCAGGGTCAGACCCCTGTTAATAAGGGCAGAACAGAGAAAGAAAGAAAGAAGCATAGTGTCAAACAGGTAAGGTGGGGCAAAAAAAGATAATTTAGAGAAAAAAAATGGCCAATGTTTGAAAAATGTCCAATCTCAGCAGTAATTAAGTATAAACTAGAACAATTACTATTAAAATAACAATATTAAGTAAATATTCAAGTACTTAGTGTGGATAAAGGTGTGGTAAAAGCAGATGTGCTCATATAATCCTAGGGGAGGAAATTAATTTTCAGAATATTTTCAAAGAAATTAGAACAATTTTGCAATTTGCATCAACAATTTTTAAATGTTTATATTGTTAGACCTCCTGAGTGAATTTTCAAGGATAAAGGCAAAGTCTGAAAATTAAAAAAATTTTTTTAGAAAGATGATTTTTGCAGCTTTATAATATTAGAAAAAATGGACATTTTAATGTTTGCCAGTAGGTTCATAGAAGTAAATTAAGGTACAGCTATCCATTTAGTTAAAAAAACACTGAGTGTTTATTTGCCAGTAACAATGATAGGTGCTGAAAATATAAAAAAGGTGAAGAGGTAACAACAGACTAATTTCTATCAATTTAAATAATGTTTATAAGGATTTCAATGAAAGAACATGTTTATGTTATGTCTAGTGAATAAGCTGAATCTAAAATTGATTATATTCACAGCCCTGGCTGGTGTGGCTCAGTGGACTGAGTGCCGGCCTGCGAACCAAAGGCAGTGGGTTTGATTCTCAGTCTAGGGCACATGCTTGGGTTGTGGGCCAGGCACCCAGTAGGGGGCGCACAAGAGGCAACCACATGTTGACATTTCTTTCCCTCTCTCCCTCCCTCCCTCCCTTCCCCTCTCTAAAAATAAATAAATAAAACATTTAAAAATTTTTTAAAATAAATAAATAAATTGATTACACTTACATCAAACAAAATATGCCATAAGGTTAGTAACAGAGGTTGCCTCTAACGGTAATGTTATGAGTTGTTTTCGTTCTTTATACCTAAATTTTATACTTCTCCTTCAGAGCTATTAATGCAAATCTTTTACAACTGTAAGCCTGGCAAAATAATGCCAGTTTACCTGTTGCAGTAATAAACCGCATTATTTGGATCCAGTTCTATTGCTTGTGTATAACAATCCACTGCAGCAGCATAATTTTCTTCTTTCATGTGGTTATTGCCTAAAATAATCAATAGGTACAGTAAGAACAATATACAGGAAAAATATAAAGTCTGTAAGATAAATTTGAATCACAGAAACTCCAATAATACGAAGGTCAGCAACATGATTTTTCAGTTACACCGGAGATAAATTCTTCATTATTCAATAATGATAATTCCACAGCCTTCATTGTGTTTGAATGATTTTGACAATGTAGGGTCTTAAAAAAATAACGTTTGTATATCTTATAAAATTCAGGCTTTAATAAGTGAGTAAATGCAATAATTATGATCATCTCATGGCAAAACTGAATCTCTTATCACCTTTATCTTCATCCCTTTCCTTCTGTTTAAAGCTGTCCCACTCCACCTTAATGCAACACCCTCCTCAGTTATCACTCAGTCTAGACCTGGCTTTCTACTCCTTCCCTGTCAAAAACACATCTGCAGAGCAGCCAAGCCCTCACAGCGGCTGTGTGGGTAAGCTGGTAAAGCCAATCCTGCTCATGTTCCTGGCAGATAATATTTTTGTGTGCTATCTCTTCCAGACATAAGTCCTTTTGAAAAGGAGATTATTAGGCATCAATTTCTGGTAAGACAGAATTTCAGATACCATGGCTAGCCCATAACGTACTGATTTTCAGGAAGAACGTCTGCAGATACCCTGGCAACGATTTAGCAAGGTTACCAGCTGGTCAATGAAATAAGGGATTTCTTGTGGCTCTTTTTTTGCATTCATTAAAGAAAAAAAATCCAATAAAAAATTTTAAGACACTAGAATTAGGAGAAACTATTTACATCCCAAAAGGCTCTATTATTCCTTCCAGCTGTCTCTAAACCAGGAGCACTCCTATTAGGCTTGTTTGTTGAATAGATCATTAGCTAATTAAAGGGAGAAGGGGGGTATACATTTGCAGGAAGAGAAATGGGAGGTAAAAGCATCTAAAATCGTAAAAGGTTACTGCAAATTAAGAATCAGAAATGAATACAAAGAGTGACTGCGAAAGGGAACACGGTTTTTTTGGCAGGGGTAATAAAAATGTCCTATAATCATGGTGATGGCTACACAACTCTGTGAATATACTAGAAACCTATGAATTTGTATACTTTGTAGGAGTCAATGACATGGTATGTCAATCATAGCACAATAAGGCAGCTTTTTAAAAGTTAAGAAAAATTAATTGTCTCCCCACCTCCAAAAAGAAATGAATACAGAGCTTTTAAGGCCGTTAAAAGGATTAAATAGCTTTTCTGGCTATGCAAGAAGTTAACTACAGTAGCCTAGGTACTTAAATAAACTTGTTTCTGCCACGTAAAAGATTTACATTTTCTGGGTTATTGGGATGTCCTCGTTGCCATCACTGGAACTTTTTGTCTTGGGGGAGCATTTTATTATTATCAGTAGTAGTAGTAGTAGTAGTAGTAGTAGTAGTAGTAGTAGTAGTAATAGTAGTATTAAAACCTACTGTTTTTTATGTCTTAGAGACTAAAAAACAATTCAAAGGATCAATAAATCTAGGAGTTAGTTCTTTGAAAAGATAAATAAAATTGAGAAGCCTTTAACCAGATTCATCAAGAAAAAAAAGAGAAAGGACCCAAATAAATAAAATCAGAAATGAAAAAGGAGAAGTTATAATCAATACCACAGAAATACAAAGAATTGTAAGAAATTACTATGAACAACTACATGCCAAGCAATTGGACAACCTGGGAGAAATGGACAAATTTCTAGAAACATACAAACTGCCAAAACTGAATCAAGAAGAAGTAGAAAGCCTGAACAAACTGATAACAATAAATGAAATCGAAGCAGTAACCAAAAGACTCCTGGCTGACAAAAGCCCAGGACCAGATTCCTTCACAGGTAAATTTTACCAAACATTTAAGGAAGAACTAACTCCTATCCTTCTCAAACTATTCTCAAAAATCCAAGAAGAGAGAAGACTCCCAAACTCTTTTTACAAGGCCAGCAACCTAATTCCCAAACCAGGTAAAGACACAACAAAGAAAGAAAACTACAGGCCAATATCTCTGATGAACATAAATGCTAAAATCCTCAACAGAACATTGGCAATCTGGATTCAGAAATACACTGAAAAGATCATACACCATGATCAAGTGGGATTCATCCCAAGGATGCAAGGATGCATCCCAAGGATGCAAGGATTCATCCCAAGGTACAATATTCAGAAATCAATAAATGTAACACACCACATAAATAAAATGAAGGACAAAAATCACATGATCATATCAATAGATGCTGAAAAAGCATTTTATAAAATCCAGCACCCATTTATGATAAAAACACTCAGCAAAGTGGGAATAGAGGGAGCATACCTCAACATAATAAAGGTCACATATGATAAACCTACAGCCAACATTTTAATCAATAGGCAAACATTAAAACTTTCCCGTTAAGATCAGGAACAAGACAAGGGTGTCCACTTTCCCCACTCTTATTCAACATAGTACTGGAAGTTCTAGCCACTTAATCAGACAAGAAAAAGAAACAAAACATATCCACATTGAAAAGAAGGAAGTAAAACTGTCATTATTTGCAGATGACATGCTAGTTTACATAAAGAACCCTATAGCTTCCACTAAAACATTACTAAACCTAATAATTGAATTTGTCAAAATAGTGGGATAGAGAGTCAATATTCAGAAATCGATGGCATTTTTGTACACCAACAATAAAATATCATTAAGAGAAACTAGGAGAAAATCCCATTTACTATAGTAACAGGAAAAATAAAGTACCTAGGAATAAATTTAACCAAGGAGGTAAAAGACCTGTACTCAGAAAACTATAGAACACTAGAGAAAGAAACTTAAGAAATATACAAATAAATAGAAGCATATACTGTATTCAAGGATTGGAAGAATTAATATTATTAAAATGTCCATACTACCCAAAGTAACCGATACATTTAAAGCAATCCCTATTAAAATGCTAATGGCATATTTCACAGATCTAGAACAAATATTTCAAAAATTTATATGTAACCAAAAAAGACCCCAAATAGCCTCAGCAATCTTAAGAAAGAAGAATAAAGTAGGAGGGGATCACAATACTCCATATAAAACTATACTACAAGGCCACTCTAATCAAAACAGTTTGGTACTGGCCTAAGAGCAGACATATGGGTCAATGGAATAGAATAGAGAACCCAGAAATAAAGCCAAGTCTCTACAGTCAATAATTATTTGACAAAGGGTGCATGAGAATACAATGGAGCAAAGATAGTCTCTTCAGTAAATGGTTTTCAGAGAACTGGACTGGTTCATGCAAAAAAATGAAACTAGACCACCAACTTACACCATACACCAGAATAAACACAAAATGGATAAAACACTTAAATATAAGTAGTGACACCATGAAAGTTCTAGAGTAATAGAATAACTATAAAAATGATTTTTAAAAACCTATTGTATGTCTTTTCCTCAAATGCGTAAATACTATAATGTATATATATACTGCACACATAAATACATTTATACATATTGGTGAAAAAAGCTTCAGGTTACGAAATATTTAATATGCAAAAATTCAGGACACAAATGATGAATTTTGCGAAGACAAATATAACTAAGCATTGCATAACACTTTATAGTTACATGATACTCTACTATGAAACTGTCTCCTTTAATTATCAGAACAATTAGATATGTCCCTCTTTCTCTGATGTGTCAGGTAATAACAACAATGAACTATTCTTGGTTTCATCTGATCTTACTGTGCTCTTCAGAAGCAAAGCACACAAAAATATTTGAAAATAACCTTTCAAGAAGGTACGAGTTGGCTGGAAGGCATAATTAACACAGACACTAGGTGTTAACATGCAGCCCGGAGCAGCCCTGTGCTTGACAATCAACTATGTCCATTTGTTTTCACACAACAGTGATCTATTTATTAAAACCAAGAATGCTTTAATATTCACTATTAGAAAACTTAATAATGTAGTAATCCAATGTGCTAACTAATAAACACTTCAGTGCTACATGCATGCATTAACCAATTTCAAAGAACTCAGAAACACTAAATATATAGAAGTTTAAATAATAATGAAAATTATTTTCCTCTCTTTACTTATGCATAAAGAAGAGTTGGGGATTCTAGACTATACACAGCAAATACAGGTACAAGGAATGATCCTTAAGTTATTTGTTTTGCAAGATCTATGCTCAAAGGATCTGGTTCGCTGAAGCAAACCACACCCATCGCTCACAAGCCATCTACATTTTTAGGCTTCTTCTCCATCATTTATCGCTGTTTCACAGTGTATTCCTGAATCTTATCAATTGATAAAGGCACTTCCTCCAGTGATTCAGAAAGTTTTACCAAAAAGTAATTTTGCTATAAAGTACTTACCTTCATCTTTTAATTGGTCAGCTTTCCCCACATCTTCAGATACTGAGTTTGAAAGAGGCAGAATGTCATTCTGAAAATAAATAACAATTAATATACTTCCATATAGCTACATTAGGAGTCATCCAAAGAACTGTAAGTAATGTAATAGTGCATTACCCATATCATAGTAAATCATATGTAATTCCACATCATGAACTCTAACACCTAAATAATAGTGTTAGCAAGAATAGGGGAAAAGTCCTCCTATACTTCTATTAGAAAAACAAGTCTGTAGAATTTTTCTAGAAGATAATGGGCAACTGTGAATCAAAACTTTTTAGCTGCTTTCCCTATTCCCGGGAATTCTACTTCATGAACAACAACAACAAAAACAATGGAGCAGGTATATGAAAAATAGGAATAGAAATATGTTCAAGGGATTGTTTCTATTAGTGAAAATTTTGAAATATAATGTTTACTATCCTAAGAGATATCTTAGTAAGTCAAAGTCACAGTTTACCAACAAAAGCATTTATGATATGATCCTATTATTGAAATATGTATATGTATACATACATACACACAGGCTAAAAATCAAAGATTGGAAAGGTGTACACAAAAGGTTAACAGTAGTAATATTTGGAGAAAAAATTCTCAGTCTCTTCTTTATATCTTTCTATCCTGCCCAAAGTTTATAAAACAATGGGCATATATTAATTTTATCATAAATTTTAAAAAAGGATAACATTCCTGTTTTTAGCACCTACTATCATCCTCAAAATGCTTTTGCCTTAGTAAGGTTTAAGCCAAAGGCACTTCTGAACTAAATGAAAATTTAGAAATATCTTGAGTGACATTTTTCCATTTTAAAAAGATCTTTAAAAAATTGTGTTGTTTTTAAACTTGATCCTGACGTTCATAAATAGGCCTAATATTTTCCAGAAAGCATAATTTGTGCCAATATACCTATGTAATATTTATGACATTATTAAACATTACCTTTTTCTTGACTAAAGTGTCAATAAACTTGATAGCTCTAACATTAAATATACTTTGCTAATCACACACAAATATTCACAAGTACAAAGTCCCTGATAAAGTATGAGTTGTTCTTCTTTTTAAAAAATCTTTCTCTCTACTAACCAGTTTTTCCAGCATAAAATATTGGGATAAAAAAGTACAACTATAGAATTAAAGTCAAATCTTTATAAGTAGTGGCCACTACTTAAAACTGACAATAGTCATTTCAGATATAAGTAGTTCAAGGACACATTACTGCCCTGTAGTACTTGCTTTTTGGGTTCCTTCTATTCTAAATCTCCTAACAAGCTTGGGCAGTTTATGCATGGAAAAAAGTGACTTTTGGGGGTCAGAAAATGGCATATTGAAGAATGCATTACAATTCAATGTCTTCTAAATGCTTCTGAGTTATTTTAATGAAATTGCAAAAGTTTTACAACTTTGAAAACTAGTTCACATATTAATTGAATGTATTTGAGCAGCTCAAGATGTAGGAAGGAGTATTATTTACTTTATATGAAAGGAATGAATCCATTTAGTACATAAACTCAATTCAGGGGGAAAACAGAAAAACATTATCCTAAAAATAAAAGTGACCCATATAAGAACTATGTACACTTGGTGAGATAATTTCTTTAATTGTAACAATCTTGATGCTGCTGCAAACAAGTTTTAGACTTTCTCTGTCATACTCTAACAAATGTAATGAAGGCACAGCTATTAAACAGGACTACTAAAGGACTGATACCACAAATAATGCTGTACAGACATACTATGGAGCCAGTTTTTTAAAAAAAAGTACTTTAAAAGCAGTATGCAAGAAGTTTTTACAATTAAAAACAAAAACAAAGCAAAATAGCAATAGAAAAAAATAGTTTTACTTAAACAAAGCACAAAAGTCAATTTAAGCTTCCTAGGAGATAAGACAATGAGTTCCGATCTCTTCAATACTAGGTACAACAGTGACAGAGGCAAAAGAGTGAGCAAATCCAAGTGCCATCTCAAACACAGGCCTCTCTGGGATGTAAGCATGAAGGTCAGTTTCTGCCATAGGCATATCTAGCCCCCAGAGACAGGGTTCCCTAAGGAGTCCATAGCCCAGGCAATGAAGGAATCCCAACAACCAAAAAATTAAAGAGGAATTTTTTTGATGAGGAACACAGAGACATGCCACTGTCCCTTACATCCTGTCATATAATTAGAATTCATCTATTTGACAAAATTAAAGTATAGCTGTGGTATTCTTTTTCCAAAAATAAAAAGAGGGAAAGGTTTCAGGTTCGATCCCCAGTCAGGGTATATACAAGAATCAACCAATGAATATGTAAGTAAGTGGAACAACAAATCGATGCCTCTCTCTCTTCTCTCTCTGTCTCTCTCTCTCTTCCTCCCCCTCCCCCCACTGCCTCTCTCAAATCAATAATTAAAAAAATAATAATAAAAAGAGGGAGCAGTGCACTGCCAAATTACCATCTCCACTGCAACTCTAAGAGCCTCTTCCCAACAAGTTCTAGAAAAAGTCAATGTGGTATCCTCAGCAATGTCCCTGCAAGGCTGAAGCACATGCTACATGTTTCAGCTTCCCTCCTGAGTTCCCCATTCTATACTGGAGCTTAAACATAGAGCTAGAAAAACAAAAGTTGCTCATGATGCACTACAATGTAATGAAAAAGCACACGGGACATCCCTAACCTTTAACTTTTTCAGACAATCTTACAGTCCATGTTTCCTGATAAGGCCAGAAACCTGAAACCATATAAACAGTCCTGGGGAGGAGGAATCAGAAAACTTGGGTTTCCATCTTAGTTTTGCATATCAACCCTGAACCTTCCCGTTTTATTTTACTATTCTTTTTTTTAACCCTTCCCTGTTTTAAAGAATCCATCAATGGCCAAATTTGATGAAATCTGCTTCAATGTGAGGATTCAGTCTCTGATGAATCTATATGTACATTGTTGCTTCCTAAACATTAAACCTTTTATTTTTTAACTTGTAGTCCATGTTTTAGGGGAAAGTCAATTCTGATATCAGAGATCTAAAAATGCTCTGATACTGTAAAGGACTTAAAAAGTCCACTAAGATATATTAAATACAAAAGAAGGTGAGAGGATGAGAGTAGCTACTAATATGAAAATCTAAAGCACATTAAAAATTTTATTTGATATTTTAAGTCCTAATCATATCCATGTGGACTGTCTTATACCTAGAAAGAAGTTAGTTACATATACCACAGACCTGGCCCCTCAAATAGTAACAATGCAGCATAATATTACAGTCATGCTTAATTCAGATAGCAATGAGAAAACAATAACAGCTTACCTTACAGAAGGAATTTGTGAACATTTCTGTCAGAGGCTGGGAAACTGCTAGATGGGTATCTTCTGGGCTGATTTTAAAAACTGTCTCCAAGCACTGAATTGCAACTTGAAACAAATTTTAGTAATGAAAAAAAAATTAGCAACCTAAAAAAAAGAAACAATCTCCACCCTCTCCCCCTTCTGGTAGAAATCTGTGCTCTGTTGCCATCTGGGGTAATTCAGCATTTATGATCACAGAACATAAGGAAAGTGGTTCAGCTGCATGGAGATTTCTGTTTATAGACCAGCTACTGAGGGAAGACAACTTGATTTCTTATTCCTCACTTGAAGAAAAATGTTACTTAAAATATCAACATATCTATTACATCATACTCTCGTTGAAACAAGTCAAATGTATTTAAAAAGTAAATAAATTAATTAAAAAAAAAAAGAAACAAGTCATTATCTACTTTTGATGTATAAGAAGTGTACAGACTGGGTGGAGAGACATGGCGGGCGATTATGCTAGAAAGGAGGTCTGTTGTTTGATGACAACACAACTTAAATAACATTTTAAAAGGATGTAGACTTAATGCTATGGGCAAATGGAGAGCTATTAGAGAATTTAGTTAGGAGAATAACATAACTCAATTTGTGTTCAGAACTCAAAGTCTGGTAGGAATGTTGAAAATGGATTAGAGAGGGAAGAAAACTGAGGGAGAAAATGGAAGCAGAAAACCAGTGTGTTCCTACTTAAATGGTCTAAACAAACAAGGAGTCTGAAATAGGGCAGTAACAGTGAAGAAAGCATATCCTGTCCTCTCTCCAAGTACCCACTGAGGAGAATGGAGGCAGATTCTTATCCTTCTGGTGCTCTACAAAGGAATGCTTTCCTGGCTTAACAAGGCAAGGATGTAGCCAAAATGTCCAGTGTGGAATAGATTCATTTATATTTGTGTGTGACTTTTAAACAATATATTATGTATTAATTGTGGTCCTGAGAAAATTATCCATCAAGAAAGAAACACTGTTACTTTTACTAGCCACAAAAATAACTCTCCTTAGAGAAGGGACTGAATAAGCAGCTAAGTTACCAATTACAAAATGTGAAAGTGCTTTTCAGATAGAAAATAATCTGTTTACCTATTCCTCACTCTCTCTCTATTTCTGCCAAGAAGTTGTTCTTAAACTTCAGTTGTACTTGCACTAAAAACACTGTGCCACAAGAAAATAGTGTCTCATTGCCATTAAGACATTTACTTACAGTAATGGTAATAATAATAATAATAAATATATATGTATACATACATTTATTTTTGATCAACATCTTTCTTTCCAGATCAGATTGGTCATTTCCTTTACCGTGACATGTAGCTTGTACATGTTTCTATTATTGTGCTTATCTAACTATATTATATGCATTAAATCTGTCTCTCATACTAGACTGTCTTCTTAAGGATAAAGCCTACATCTTATTCTTCTTTGACTTTAACAGACTCTGGGAAGTAGTAGATGCTCAATACATTTTATCTACTTCTTCATTTACAGTGAAAGTAATAGCTCAATTTCAGAGGAAATAAAAACAATAAAACATGTAGAACAAAACCCCCCAAAAATATTAATTCATGGCCACATGAAACATGGATAGAAGCTAACCAAGCCCTTATCAAAGCCGGAGTATGACGCTTCAGAGCTAAGCAATGACTAACAACCAATGAAACACCATAAGCTAAACACTTCAGGTGAAAAGTTCATAGAGTGATCGAGCAGGATTTTTCTGCTCCGGCTCGTGGAGTGATCCAGTCCCGCTACTGTATCTCCGCGGCCACTGACCTTAGAACACAGACCTGGCACACACTAGACACAAGTAAGTATCCCTAGAGGAGGTGGCTGTTTTGTCTTGTTTTAAACACAATTGTTTGGGTTTTCTTAAAAATCACTTTACTGAAGTATGATTGACATATAAAAAGCTATAATATTTACTATATACAACCTGATGAGTTTAGGGATAAGTATACACCCATGAAACCATGGTCATAAAGATATTCATCACCTCTCAAAGTTTCCTCTCACCCCCTTTTTATTATGTTCATGGGGGGGGGGCAGTGGGTAAGAACAATTAACATAAGACCCACTTAGCAAGTTTTAAAGATTTATTTATTTATTTTTAGAGAGAGAGGAGGGGAGGGAGAGAGAGAGGGAGAGAAACATCGATGTGTGGCTGCTGCTCATGAGTCCCAGTCTGGGGAACTGGCCTATAACCCAGGTATGTGCTGACTGGGAATTGACCCGGTGACCCCTTGGTTCACAGGCCAGCACTCAACCCACTGAGCCACTAGGCAAGGCCAAATTTTAACTACACAAACATAATTGTGGCACCGTGCTGAAGAGAACTTACTTATCTTGCACAGCTGAAACTTTGTACCCTTGACGATCACCTCTCCATTTCCTCTTCTCCCCAGGCCCCGGCAACCTGACCTCTGCTTCTATGAGTTTAACTATTTTGGATTCTACATATGTAAACACAATTGTTTTCATGAATAAACCTTGTTGCTAAAACATTTAGCATTCAATAGTAACACATGTTTAGAGAGACATGACTTAGTGAACAAAGCTACCACAGCTTTGGAACTCAAGACTACCTCATTATTATTGTTAATACAGCTGCTCAAAATCAAATAATCAGAGTGCAATAATTTGTCCTATTTTTACCTCAAGATTCTTATATGAGGAAGGGATTATTATACATTATCCTCACTTCATGAGGCTATCCTCAAGAATAAGCCATAAAACTCTAAAGAAATACTGTATATAATTACTATTCTACTTTAACACCAAGTAATAATAGTCTGTTTGGTACTGATGAGAAAGACAAATGAAGAATTCCACTCAATAATACCATACCCATCTGTACAGTACTTCTTTCAAATCTTTCATATGCTATGTACCTGCCATTACTGATTGATTCTCTTAACAGATCTCTTAGATGGAGAGGGCAGACAGCTCCACCTAATAAACCTCGAAACACACACAGACCAAATACCTGATATGCCCAGGATCATTTACTTCAATTCATCAATTCAGTTCATCAAATATTTATTGGGCACCTACCATGTGTCAGACACTTTTCAAGCAGCTTTGGGTTTATCAGTGGATGAAACAAGAAAAAATCTCTGACTTCTTGGGGCTGAATATTTACATGCAGAGTCTGAGAGAAAGAAAAGAGTCCAGGTAATGCCAAAGCTTTGGGCCTGAGCAACGGAAAAGAGAGAGTTGGCATCAACTGGGATAGGAAAATTGTGGATAGGACAGATTTGATGTGGGAGGATCAGGATTTCAGTTTTGGAAATGTTCGATTTGAGATGCCTATTAGACATACTGTGGAAATATGCAGTGGAGAGTTGTATATAGAAATCTGGAGTTCGGAATAAATGTCTGGGCTCAGGGCATATATTTGACATCTATCAGCACCTAAATAAAGGATATTTAAGGTCTAGAAGCTGAATGACAACACCAAAAAAAAATGAGTGTAGATAATGAAGCTTTGAACCCTGGGTACTCCAGATCAGGGAAAAGAAGAGGAACTAGCAAGAGAAGGAGCAAATGAAGAAATAAGAAAAAATCCAAGAGAGTATTAGGTAACCTGGAAGCCAAGTGAATAGAGCATATGAGGGGAAGGGGTTCGAAGGAGTGATCAGCAACTTTATCCATGGCAGCTAATAAGTCAGATGAATACTGAGAACTGATCATTGAACTGAGTAACAGAAATCACTGATGACTTTGATGAGAAATCTAAGGATGGAGAGATGGAGGCAGGGGCCTAACTGGGGCGGGTTTAAGGAAGAATAGGAGAGGAGTTGGAGAAAGCAAGTATAGAAAACTCATTCAAACTTTTCCTGCAAAGGGATACAAAAAAATAATAATAACAACAAGGCAGTAGTTCTGAGGGTGCAGAGGTAGTATGGCAAGAGTAATAATTTGTTGTTGATGCTTTTTTAAGAAGGGAAACATAATGGCAACGATTCAGGAGAGAGTGAACGTCTGCTGACGTAAGACAAGGAGGGTGGGATAACTAGAGGGGTAACCTGCGGTGCCGGGGACAGCGCGGGACCCAGGGTGCCCGCGAAGAGGCTTCACTTAGAAGCACCGATGAACAGTTCCATCTATGGTGTCGTAGTCCATTCGGGTGCTATGAAAGGATGCCATAAAATGGGTGGCTCGTAAACAGCAGAAATTTATTCTCATAGTTCTGAAGGTTGGGAAGTCTGGGATCAAGGTGCCAGCAGATCTGATGTCTGTTAAGGAGTCACCTTCTGGTTCATAGATGGCGCCTTCCTACTGTGTCTTCACGTGGTAGAAGGAGCAAGGGAGCTCTCTGGTTTCTTTCTTAGAAGGGCACTAATCCCAATCCTGAGAGCCTCGCCTCCTACACCGACACATGGAGCATTAGGTTTCAACATGTGAGTTTAGGGCGAACACAATGTTTAGTCCATAGCATATGGTCAGGCAGGCAGAGTATGTGGGTGTAGGTGCTGGTGTGTGGGTAGATGGGGCAGAAAGAGTCTGTGGAAGTTGGTTTCTTGTCATTTCAATATTCTTGGTGCAGTAGGCAGCAAGGTCATCAACTAAAAGTGAGTACAGGGAAGGAGGTTTTGGGGTTTGAGAAAATATGAGGAAGTATTCAATGGTCAGGTAGGAGAGCCAAAGTGTGAATGAATTAGGAACAGATAGTGTAATTGCTGGACAGCATTAAAGGTCTGCTTGAGGCTCGTGGTCATGATTGAAAGTGGGGCCCATCAGCAAAGTTGTGTTTTGCTCTATTTATATACATTCACATGGATATGGGTAGAGAGTAGATGAAGACCAGGATTCACACAAAGTTGGGTTTTGCAAGGAAGGGAGGGATGTACAGAGGTGTGATTACAATCAACCATAGAATTTAAATTGGGTAAGAAGATGAGAGTGAAAGGTAAGGGTCAAGAGACTGGAGGTATCGGTAAGGAGAGATTCCAAAGGGAGAGCGCTGGGAAGACAAGCAGTAGTGGCCAAGAAGTGAACTGTTTAAGATAGAGATTATGGAGGGAGTGCAGCTGGGTAATGACAGGTTTAGGGAAGAGTGTCCCAACATTGGCTGTACTAGCATTCTGGACTAGATAATCCTTTGTTGTTGGAGGCTATCCTGGACATTGTAGAATGTTTAGCAGCATCCGTGGCCCCTACCCACTAGAAGCCAGTAATACCAACTCCCTAGTCATGGCGATCAAAAACATCTCCAGACAATGCAAAATCACCCTGAGTTGAGAACCACTGGTCTAGGGTCTGACCAAGGGAGTGAGAGGATGAGATCACTGGGGGAAAGGCTAAGGAGCTGAGAGTCAAGGGAACTGGAAGAACTATCTGTGAGTCTATTGCAATTGCCAAGAATTAAGACAGGAGCAGTGCTAGAGAGAGTGACAGTGAGCAGGAGCCATAACAATCAACACATGAAGTGGCTGTCAGTAAATGACAATTACGAGTGGGTGACATAAACTAATGAGAAGGCTCAAAGCACATAATACACCAGCTCATCGTAATGGTGAGGCGAGTAGTAGAACTTAAGCTCCTTTATTAAGACTGTTTTTAAATGTCTAGAAGGTGGGCAGACATTTCCGCATGATTTCATATTCAATAAAATTAGACACACGGAGTCAGAAATAGGTATTGGTCAAAAACAGTTGGCACCATTTCTGGATGCTACATATAAAAAACATCTGAAGGCACATGTTTTTGGCTGGATACCATTCTAAAAATAGGACATAACATCTTGGTTTAAAAAAAAAAACTGAATTTTCCATCTGGCCCCTAAAAAGTATTATACTGCCTTTGATTAGAAAAGAAACATATTTTATTAAATGACTGCATTTATCTGTTTGCTACAGAGCAGCCATACCTAGCATCCTCCTTAGATAACCAGCCACCTTTACCTTCACATGCTCTAACCATCCTTAATGTTAAATGGACTGATTGTAATGTTCTCCAACTGTGTCACCTGCCTTTTTCACTGCCACTCGGAAAGCCATCATCTTACCGGCACTGCCAGTGATTTTAGAGCAAATGTCCAATTTTCATCCCTACCCCCTAAGAGCATATTCACAAGGGCAGTGCTTGTTAAAGTTAATAGATGTGCCCTCCCTTTATAGAAGAAACAGCTTCAAGATGGGAAAATAAAATCGTACTGTTATTTAAGTTCTCTCAAATGCTCATTGCAAAAATTAAGTCTTTAGGCCACAAAGAAGATAGGCTCATGGAACCTCCACAGCCCATGTGCAGAATTCTGTCCTGTGATGGTTATACTAAATGAAAATTTTACAATGCATAAATATGAAACAGAAAAGATGGTGTCAAGGAAGCACGTGATGCTATCATGCAAGTCTTGCTCAACTTGATTGGTTAATGAATCTAATGTTTAAAGCTCCCATAAAACAAGGGTGCAATCCTCTCATTTCAAGTCCCCAAATGTCAGAGGAAAATAGTGACATAATTATTAGACTTTTACATAGTGCTTTCATAATGACTAAGGTATTTTCACATATTGATTCTCAACTGGATGCTTTCCTATTAAAAAGAAGAGACAACAAGATCTTCAGAGGAAGAACCGGGATTTAAATCTCAGCTCTGCTACATGTTTGCTGGGTTATGTTACTTAATCTGGTTTCATTTATTTATCTGTTAAATGGGGATAATACTAACTTAGCAGTAAGTATGAAGAAAAATTCTCTATAATAGGAATAGCATAGCTCTGACACATAATAGCTGTTCAACAAAGGAGCATTAGTCCTCTTGTTAATTAAAACAAACAAAACAAGCCTCAGAAAATGGAAACTCATTACAATCTCATAGTTAGGTCCCTCTTCTTGAAAGATTTTGTTTTAATAGGTCATAAAGTCAGGCTCATAGCTATTTTAGTGTTTGTTTATGGTTATAACACCAATGTACATAAAAACAGGTGCCTACCTTCCAAACTTTCTTGCTCATCTGAAGTATAAGCATCCATTTGACTTTGTTCCCGTAAGAAACGAATAACAGCATAAACTAGGTGCTTGATAGATGACATTTTAAAAGTTTAAATGCTTTTCCTTGATAAGAAAAAGGAAAACACTGAACTCAGATATTTTAAAGAATCAGTCAGGAAGTTTATAAATTACTCGAAAAGTAAAAAGCAAAACCTAAAATCTGTATTACCTTCACTGCTTTCTATTTTTAAAGAGTTAGGAGAGCATAAAGTGTTCTTATAGTATGTGTTACATATTTTCACTTATAACTTGCAAAAGTATAAAACTTGCAAAAGTAAAAATCTTTCTCAAAACATGTATAATGTAAGCTTAGACTCTCAGTGAATAGCTCACTGTATCTTAACAGTTCGTATGGTACGGATAGAGATAAGGATAGGGGGATAGTCTGAGATACAGAAATCTCCGAAAGGCCTCAGTACTAAGTTGAGGGAGATTTCATACTGCTGACTCAGAAGCCGATCCACGGCGAGCATCTTCCTCTATTTCATGAGATTTTTCAAAATGTATACATAATTTACACTCCACCTACTTTTGTAGGCTGAGACAGTTACTTGATGAAGAAGTATATTAACCAAAGGTTGTTCAATCACTGAGTGTCATTCTTAATAGAAATGGCATTTCTATTTAATCACCAGACATGTCAGAAAATCATTGCCTAAGTCGATGGATACTACAAGCCGACCAGTTGTCTCTGCAGTAGCTGTGCCCTCGTGGACAAGCTGGAAGCTCCCGGTCATATTCATTCACATGGAATACTATCGCATCCAAACAGTGGCGCAGGGCCAGCCGGCATTAATGGCTTATCCCCACTAAATCGCATCATCCATCGGCTCCCTAGGTCCCTAATTCAAAGCCAGGGTGTGGTACCCACTGCTAGGATGTTTATTATTTGAGTGCTTTTTTAAAAAAGCGAGTCCAGCCTTTAGGCCATGGGGTTGCTTGTACTAAACAAGGCCCCAGAGCAGAAGACTAAAAAAGAATGGGGGAATGGTGGGGGGTGGGGGGAGTGCAGAGGGGAAATGGAGATGTCCAACCTCCGCCAGGCTTCTCCTTCTCCCCAGAGCACAAGGACCTCCCTCTTCCTCCCTTTGGTACCCGGCCCTCGCCTCCTTCCTGACAGGTATTGCTGCTGGGTGCGCGGTGCAGGCCCCGCCTGGGGCGACGGGAGATGCACTCTTCCCAGACAGAAGCCCCTTACCAGAAAGAGGACGTGAAACGGTGGCAGCGGGCCCGCGGTTGTCCGTAAGTGGGTCCGCCCGCCCTCTGGTCTGCAAGGCTGGAGCCTGGCTCGCGATCGCAGCACTGGCAGCAGTCACCCAAACTTCCTCGGCTCCCAGGCCACGGCGGCCCCGGAGCCCACCAGGCTACGCGCTCGCTTGGAGATGCTGGGTCTCGCCAGAACCGCCCAGAGGGCGGAGCAGGGCGCGCGGGGCGGGGCCGGGCCTGGGGCGGGGCCCGGGGCGGGGCCCGGGGCGGGGCTGAAGTGGGCGGTGGCGTGGTGCTGCCGCACGTGGGAGGGCTCGGCGGACGCGGCGCTGTCTCCACCGTCGCCGCCGCTACTGTTACCTCCGGGGCTAGGCCGCCTCGCAGCTCCCTGACGTCCCGCCTCCCCAACCCCCAACCCAGAGGACAACGAGCTCGCCGCCGCCGCCGCGTCTCGGCGCTCCCATGATAGCCCAGAGCCTTTGGGCTGTGCGAGGCCTCCACAGGTACCCCCGTGCGCGTGTTAACCTTGACCGTGGGCAGGGCGGGGTCTTCTGCCCTGGTCTTTCCCTGCTACCTGGCCCAGCGTTTCCCCACCACACCCCTACGACGCTCCAGGGGCCCTCCCTCCCGGCGACCCGCGTGGTCTACCCCGAAGGACACCTGGCGCGGGGACGCGAGGGCCACCTTTCCTTCCTCCGCTCCCTCGGGAGGCCATCCATTCCCCTTTGTTTGGAACTGCCTCAGCTGCAGTCAGCAAGACTGGTCACAGGCCCGGCCCAAAATGAATGCTATAAGATGGTCTGGATAAGAAAAATCCTTAGACTCTGCCCCCGTGCAGAGCTGCAGACCCGTCATTAAAAGTGCCCCAGCTGTACACTCAGGCATGAAATTCTCATTTGCCCCTCACACACTTAGCATACAAATCGTTTAACGTCCACACAAGATGAACCCGCTGTGGTTTTACTGATTTCCGTCCATGCTTTCTAATATCCTTTTTATTTACCTCCTTCCCGTAACATTCGGCCTCTTGCCGGGGCAAATTGACTTGGCCCAAAATGGAGGAAATTATATTGCTTGGACACGGTTTTGGGCAGCCTCAGCTGCTGTTTTGGATTGCTTCCTAGCTCTCTAACCCCATCCCTCTGCAACAGACCAGTAGCAAGATGGTGAGGGAATTAAATCCTTTGCACGGATGCATTGAGTGGTTTTCAGAAACAGTGTCTGAAGTAGGATCCAACAGAAAAAAAGAAATATGTGTTTCTTTCTTGATACTTATAAAACTCCTTAGAACATATTAGCATTTAAGCTTTTTAACAGTTTTCTGTTGGACATTGACACTCATCTGGGTGGAGCTTTGTGTTGCTCAGTCCTTATGGTTACAGTGCATCCAGGGGACAATAGAAATTTAAAAGATGATTTTGACCATATTTTAGGCTGTCCTTTTAGTCTGCAGACTGCAAGTGGTGTAGCGGCCAAATAAAGCGATACCAACAGATGAAGATTTTCACATAATGCAGGTGTGAGGAGAGAATAAATTTCATAAAAGACATGATTTTCAAACTTTTTAGTCTCAAAACTCCCTTTACCTCAAGTACCTCAATAATTACTCAGAACCTAAAAGCTTCTATTTATGTAAGTTATGTCTTTCTATACTTACTGTATTAGAAATGAAAACTGGGAAATTTTTCAAGTATTTATTAGTTTATTTAAAATACAGTAACAAACTAATCACATGGATAAATAACATTTTTAATGAAAGTAAGTATTTTCCAAAACTCCTCTCAAAATCAATGCGAAGACTGGCATTGTGGGGTTTTCATTTCTCTTTTATTTTTTTTTTCACCTTTAAAAAATTGTGGTAAAATATGCATAACATGAAATTTACCATTTTAATCATTTTTAGGTGCACAATTTAGTGGCATGAAGTACATTCACATTATTGTGTAACCATTACCACTATCTATTTTGTGAGCTTTTTCAACATCCCAAACTGAAATTACAGTTAAATCTCAGTTCTCAGACATCTTGATTCTTGACCAATTCAGTTCTTGACCAAGCTGTTCACAGAAGAAATGTCTCAGCTGACCAACAAAACTTTGGTCTCAATCCTCCACCCAACAAACTTTTTTGCTGATACCTATATGATGAGTCATGAGTGTCTCAGCGGACAAACAAAGGAGATTCAGTTTTTGAACAAATTGCTTCTCGAAAGTTTTCTGGACAAATTAAATTTGAGAACTGAGGTTCCACTTATATTCATTAAACAATAACTTCTCATTGTCCCCTCTCCCAGTCCCTGGTAACCACCATTCTTTCTGTCTATGAATTTGACTATTTTAGGTACCTCATATAATATTTGTTCATTTGTGACTGACTTATTTCAATTAGCATAATGTTTTTAAGGTTCATCCATATTTTGGCATGCATGAGAATTTCCTTACTTTTTTAACACTGAATGCTATTCCTTTTTACGGATATACCACATTTTGTTTGTCCATTCATCTTTCCAAGAACATTTGTGTTGCTTCCACCTTTTGACTCTTTTGAGTAATGCTGCTCGATCACTGGTATGTGCATATCTGTTTGAGTCTGTTTTCAATTCTTTGGGATCTATATCTAGAAGTAGAATAACTGAATCATATGATAATTCTATTTTAATTTTTTGAGGAACCATGATACTATTTTCCATAGCATCTGTACCATTTTACATTCCCTTTGGATATACATAGGATTCCAGTTTCTCCACATCTTTATCAACACTTGTTATCTTATTTGTTTTTTTATAAAAACCATCCTACGAGTGATATTGTTTTGCACTTTGGCAACACAAATGTGTGATTTAATAGAAGATAGCTGGATTCTTACTTCTGCTTCTGCATTTAATCTGTTGAACTGTTTTGTTTGACTTAAGAAGATGAAGAAAATCCCACCTTTCACGCATATGTAGTTGAAAAAAGGAAATATTTTAACAGCTCTTTTTAGATAGTCATGGATATTCTTTGATATCCCATCAAAGTTTGACAAGTGGTAGTTTTTAAAGATTAGTTGACAATGTGGAATATGAAACAATCACTGTACTTTTCTTACTCTTATATTAAAGTCCATGATTCTATCTTATATTTTGAATGGATCTTTTACTCATGCATGATTTTGTAATGTCAAACATGTCATTTGGAAAATAATGGTTCATTGTGCCAAACATATCTTCCTAATTTTGACACATTCCATTATGCAGTATCAATCATATTCCTTTAATGTCATTATCCATCTCATCATAAAAGTCTTCAAGTATTAGGAAGCCCGCCTACTTGGCTCTCTTTCATGGTATCTCTCATCCTCCAGGAGGCTAACTCTGGCTTCTTTAGTAACGGTGACAGGGTTCCATAAAGTATAGAGAGATCTCTTGAGGCCTAAGCTTAGAATGAACACCATCAACTCTGCCACATTCTACTGGTCAAAGCACATCACAAGGCCAGCCCAGATTCAGGAAATGGAAAAATAGACTGTCTCTTGATGGAAGGAGCAGCAAACTCAAATTATAAGAATATATAGATACATAGAGGGATGGCGAATGGGGCCATTTTAGCAGTCAGTACACCATATTGGCACATAAAAATTCAATAACTATTAGCTTGTATTGAACCATGGCCCAGTGACTCAGTTGGTTGGAGTGTTGTCCTAAACACCAAAAGGTTGCAGGTTCAGTCCCCAGTCAGGGCACGTACCCACATACAGGAGGCAACCAAATAATGTTTCTCTCTCTCTCCCCTTTCCTCTCTCTTTAAAATCAATAAAAAAACATATCGTTGGGTGATAATTTAAAAATTTTTTAATAAATATTAAGTATTACTATGTTCATATTTTGTGAATTGTATAGTTGCATTTTGGAGGTTTTCAAATTGAGATTATTAATATGTAAGAGCCCTTCATAAATGCTGCCTTTTTTTTTTTTGGTCTTTGAATTTTGGGATGGATTGTTACTGCCTTTTGCTTTTTTACCCTACAGAAGTTTAAAATTTTCAGGTGTATCAGTGTTTTTCTTTATGACACTGTCTTTGGTCTCATGCCTAGAAACCATTCCCTACCCCAAGACTATAATATTTTTTTAATCACCTACTTTTTCACCTAAGTAGTTTTTTATGTTGCATTTTCACACTTAAACACTTTAACTAGTCCACCTGTTTTGAAGTTATCTCTATCTCCTGCTTGGTGTTCGAAAGGATGCCTTTGTCTTTCTCAGCCACACTTAGCTGATATCTTTGCTACCTAAACCCATTTGTTTTCAAGACCAATAGGAAAAACCTTTGTCTCTCTCACATCTTAGCCAGGGTTGTAGTGACAGAAGTAATCACAGCTTTTAGGTGAAAGCCTGCTTGCTGCAATGCATAACATCCATACTATATACCTTGATTACCCCCACTAGTTGACAAATTTTGTTAAATCAGGAACCTGTTTTTTGTTGTTGTTGCTCATTTCTGTATTTAGCACTTAGCATGGAGTAGTTTACATAGATGCTTTTAAATATCTACATTGAGTGGATGGATGAAAAGATGTCATCAGTGATAATTGAAAATTTAGCATTCACTGCAGATATCTAAGGAGCATAGGCCTGGACTTGGCATTTTGATGCTGACAGTGACTGGTATAACTTTCAGTAGAAAGTATTTCAAATTCATATGAAATAGCTCATTGTAAATTTCTTTATGCAAAAGGAAAACGTTGCCAGGGAAATTACTGTGTCTAAGTATTATTTTAGACCTCATTCTATAATAAAAAGAATTACGGAGTTGACTAATATGCAGTATGAAGCTTCATTACCCAACAGATACATAGGAATTTTGAGTATTACTGGGTATATGTTAAAAGGTATGATCTTTGTCATGTTCCCTTGTTGTCACTGGAAGGTGGGGCGGGGCGGGGGGTGGTCATTCAAATAGTGATGTGAAGCCATGCAAACCCAGTTTGTGGATCTATAGAGTAATAGTCTAATTAATGAATATCTAAGAGCAAAGCTTATTTTAAATGTCATCCTGAATATGGAAGAAACTGAAAGAGGTGCCAATCTCTAAAGTATTGGGTCAGAAGCAACCACTTAGAGGAACAATAGAAGACAAACATCACATAGGTGGGCCTGAGGTTCCCCAAGCCAAGGAAGCCAGACTCTCGGGACTTGTATGGCTTCGGAGTTACC